TAATTCCTTCAAACCCATAAACCTGCCTCTGAATTCCACCTGACACTCTGTCCACCCCAGGATAAGCCCACAAACTTAACCCCCACTGCTCAACCCTTGGGTGCAGTCCCTTGGCCCCAGTCTTGACTGACCTATGATAACTTGTGGTTTTTTTCTCACCTTCTCTCCCTTCCCCCAGATAACCCGGGCTCTGGTGGCTGCCAAGGCCTTTGTCCAGGGCCTGGAGACTGGAAGAAGTGTGGTCAGTGAAACACTTAAGGTTAGAAGGGGTCCGAGTGTGGGCAGGGCCTAGGGAGGGAGAGGCAGAAGTGGGAGAGACCCCACAAGGAAGAGACAGGCGCTAGGAGGAAGGAGAGGCCTGAGGTCTCCTCTTATCAGTCTCCAGGCCCTGGCCCCCCAGGGTAAATCAGGGAGGAGGGAGGCTGGAGTCAAGTCTCCACTGACCATGGTTTTCCATGATCTCCTGTAACCCCTGACCCTCTCCTGCCCTCTGACTCATACCTCCTCCAGCCCCTGAGGGCCTTTTCATCTCCACAGTGGTCTGAGATTGGAGTACTGAGCTCAGTGGGTCCCCCAGGACCTCTCAATGGCTCCCACCCTGCTGCTGAAGGCCTGTCTCTACCACCCATCCTCTCAGCTTTCCTTCTTCCTCACCATCCCTGCTGTCTCTCCCCAACCAGGACAGGCTCGCTCTTGCCCTTGCCCTTTCTTCCAATACCTCCTCCAATAATACACCCCCCCATGAAGTAAAATCTGTGATCAGACCCCTGGGAACTTCACCCACTCAGCTCTGGCAGTCCTGTGGCCTCCAATTCTCCATGCTTACACAGGCCTGGGGATGTGGGGCAGGGTGCTGTACTTGGCTTTTCTTTGTGCCTAGCAGCAGGCTTGACCAAGAACAGCCAGGGTGTTTGTGGATGAAACAGCCCAGTTCTCTGCCTCCAGGTGCCTGTGTCTGAAGGTTGCCGGCAGGCTCTGATGCGTCTGACTGGATGCCCCCTTTGCCGGGGCGTTCCCTCACTCATGCCCTGCCGGGGCTTCTGCCTCAACGTGGCCCACGGCTGTCTCAGCAGCAAGGGACTGGAGCCTGACTGGGGCAGCTATCTGGGTGAGGGGGTTCATGAAAGCCTGGGATGGAGGCGGGCCCTCAGGGAGGCCAGGGCTGTGTGGGTAGGGGCATGGGGCAGTCTAGAGCCATAGGGAGAGGAGAATACAGTGTGGGAGGGGGTGTTCCTCCACTTTGCTGCTTCCTTCTAAACCCTGGTGAGGGTTTGTGGGGACATCCTCGTTCAGTACGCAACCTTAACCCCTTTCCCTTCCTCCTCCTCCTTCAAGATGGTCTCTTGCTCCTGGCTGAGAAGCTCCAGGGGCCCTTTTCCTTTGAGCTGGCTGCTGAGTCCATTGGGGTGAAGATCTCAGAGGGTTTGATGTATTTGCAGGAAAACAGTGTGAAGGTGTCAGCCAAGGTATGGGAGGCAGGGATGGAGGGACCATGGGATGTCAGCCTAGGTAGGGGGAGGGAAGGGTGGTGAGGCCCGGGGCAGAGGACATTGTGGGGTGGGAGCCCTGGTGCAGGGGGGAAGGGCAGAGGTGAGGCTCAGGGTGGGCGATAGTTTGGGAATCTGAGGAGAATGTAGGGTGGAGGTGGCGACAGTGTGGGTGGCCCGCAGGGTGACTGTCTCACGGTCTGCTTCCTGCACAGGCGTTTCAGGAATGCGGGACTCCCCACCCAGTGCCTGCCCGCCACCGCCGAGCGCCGGCGCCCCGGGAAGAGGCAGGCCGACCGTGGAGGGCGGCGGCCGAGGAGGAGCGGCCCACGACAGCGGCAGGCACCAACTTGCACCGGCTGGTGCGTGGCGGGTGGGGCGAGGGATGCGGGCGGGCCGGGGTCGCGGGGTCGCGCTGTAGCTCGGCCCGCCCCGTCTGTCGCACAGGTTTGGGAGCTTCGCGAGCGGCTAGGCCGGGTGCGAGGCTTCTGGGCCGGGCTGCCCCTGACGGTGTGTGGGGACTCCCGCATGGCCGCGGACGTCTCGCAGGAGGCGGCGCCCTGCTGGACTGGCGTTGGGCGAGGCCGGTGAGAGTGGGGCATCGGTGGCGGGCGGGTAGGCTGCGAGCAGACCCGGCGGCCGACCAGAGCCTTCGCGGTGCTGTGCTTGCAGGTACCTGCAGCCGGTGGTCGGGGCCTCCCCGACCGAGCAGCTCCACAACCCCGAGCTGGATGTGGATGTCTCGGGCCCGGACGTCCTCACGCGCCGCCGTAGGCTGCAGCTCCGCGCGGCCACTGCCAGGATGAGGGCTGCGGCGCTGGGCCAGGACCTAGACAAGCGTGATGCAGGTGAGCCCCGCCCACTGCAGCACGAGCCCCGCCCACCATCCCAAAGAGCCCGCCTACTAGCGCGTGAGCTCCGCCCACTAGCGCGAGTCCCACCCCCTACCCCTCAAGCTCCACGTACTGCCTCAAGAAGTCTGCCCATTACCCGATGAGCACCACCTGCTGTTCCCCGAGCTCCCCCTCGCTTCGTGGCCCCATCTCCCCACTACTACCCAGGCTTCTTAGCTTCATTCGTTCTCCTTCATTGAAGCCTTTACTGCGATCCTGACTCAAAGGTAGTGGTAAAGGACCAATGAATGAGTGGATCTGTACCTTAGGGTACAGTAGTTCAGTGGGAAGCGCAGAAACTTACAGAAGAGTGGAGAAGCGTCTTATAGAGGGCAGAGTGTTGCAGAAGGGGAGGAAGGTGGGAAAGCCGCAGGGGTGACAATGGGCAGGCACCCCATGGTGGAATTTGCCACCGAGGCACGTCACAGACTTTCTTTTTTTCTGTCCTTTTCTTTGTCTCTTCTCCCCACCCATCTTCCTGTCGGCTCTCTGCTTCTGTGTACTTGTTTCCTTTCTCGTTTATCCTCTTTCCCAATCTGTCTCTTCTTACTTCTAATTATCACTTTTCCTGTCTCCAAACGCCTTCTCTCCTCCGGTCTGCTGTCTGATCTTGCTTTCTCTCTCCCTGCCTTCCTGTCGCTTCCCCTTTTACCTGTATCTCTCTCCCTGCCCCCCACCCCCGTTTCTGTCACTGTTTCTCTTCCCCTCGGTTTGTGCCCCTCCACGCTTTCCCACCCTGCCTCTGTTCTTCCTTGCAGATGAGGATGCTAGTGGCTCTGGAGGGGGACAGCAGTATGCAGATGACTGGAAGGCTGGGACAGCGCCGGTGGCCCCCCCAGCCCGGCCCCCAAGGCCCCCGCGCCCTCCTCGCAGGGAAGGTCCTGGCGGCAAAGGCGGAGGTGGCAGCACTCGCTACAACCAAGGCAGGAGCAGGAGTGGGGTGACATCTGTTGCTCTTCACACCCCGCCTGTCTTCATTCTGTTCTCTTCAGCCCTGGCTCTGCTTGGACCTCGATAACCCGGGAAGGGTGCCCTAGCATCAGAAGGAGTAACAGCCGGTTCACTTCCTCTCCCTTCAGCTGGGTCTGGGGCGGGAGGAGTCGAAGGGGCTGCAGAGAGGGTGGAAAAGGGACTTTGCAGGTGAATGGCTGGGGCCCCACATCCAGGAGATTCCCATCGGTGGGCTGGGGCTGAGTGGGTGTTCACAGTATTTATTTTTTCATTTGGTAACTGGGGAGGAGGTGCTGGGGTATTTATTTTAGGAAGGAAGTGTGGTTTCAGCTCTCTAAGGCTGAGTGCCGATCATCAGCTCCAATAAGGGGAAAAGGGAGGAATTTTAGAGTTGCCATAGGGGAATGGGCCGAAGGAATTTGGAATTGGGGAAGGGTGGAACGGTAATGGGGTGGGGCACCTGGTCTCAGAAGTGGACAGAGCTGGGTGCTAATGGGGTGCAGGGCGGGGGCTGGGAGTGTGTGAGTAGGCTGTGTGACCCAATGGGCGTGGGTTCTGTTGAGTTCTGTCAGGATCAATTTTAAAAAGAGGGGCTTATCTCACGCCCTCTGCCATCTACATCCTTCACAAGCTCCCATTCATGTTTCGGTGTTTGAGTCAGTGTTTATTCGTAAATAAATGTTAATTTATTGGACCGTGTGTGTGGCTTTCTGTGTCTTAATCGTCCCTCCCAGATCCCGGACTGCAGCAGACGCCACAGGGCATCTGTGATTGGCTTAGTTTCTGCCTCCTTCTTGCCTTCTCTGGACCTCTCCCCACCCCAGGCAGGCCAGAGGGATTGACCTCTGGTCTTCAGGTTGCCCACAAGGGCTGAACAACTTCCTCCATAAAGTATAGAGCACTGTGGGAAAGAAACAGGAGCTACATGAAGAAGCACCTTGTCACCTGCAAAATTCGCCTTAAACACGACAGGCATTATCTACGTCATCACAGCACTGCCCCTGCCTTCAGGGTGGGAGTTCTTGTCCTCTGGGTGTCGGCCCTTGGCTACCCTGACAATGTTTGCTTTCAGTGCCTCTCTCTTCTTTTCCTTTGCTTTCTTCTTTGCTCTGAATGACTCTTTTGTTCTGTAGAAAGCTGAGAGGAAAAGGTATAATTGATTCTGAAGTGAAAGGAGGGTGGAAATGGGGTCTTCCAAGGGCAGGCCAGGCGCCCCAATGAGAATGAAAGATGCAGGAGGGAGAGACCCAGAGATGCGATCAAAGCCGAAGCAGCTGCTTGGGCTGGCGGGACAAAGGGAGGGGAGGGGAGGAGCCTGGGTGCTGAGAAAGTTTGTGGGGAAAGTTGAGCTGAGCTGAGCAGAGAGGGTGGTGGCTGAGACAGGCGGAGGGCCCGACCTGATTTCCCTGCTGCTCCCTTTGTGGCCTGGTGAGTGGGCAAGGAAAGCTGGGGCTGGGCTGGTGGAAGGACCCTTGAACTTATGGGAGGAGCCTTGAGGGGTTTATAGGACCCCAGAGGAGGCCAACAAAGGGCTGGCGACAGACTGAGCAGTCTCCAAAACTGAAGTGAGCAGGGGCCTGAGATAGGGGTTATGGGAAGAGATAAAGATGAATGGGAAGAGAAGAAGAACTCAAGAGAGTTGCAGCTGGATCCTGGGGGCTGTGATAGGGGAAGAAATTGGGGGCGGTGTCAGAGGGGTGGGTCCCTGGGTAGCCAGTGTGGCTTCTCTGCCTGGGGTCAGCCCTGACTCATTTACAAAGGGGGCTGTCCAGGCTTGTTGGAGGGGCTGTGGTCCTTGATTGCCGGTTGTAAATCTGAAGGGGTGGAGTCAGACTCCAAGCCTGTTAGGGATATCAGGCCGGGAAAGAAGGCCATATCTTGGTGTTTATGTATTTCTCCATATCTATTTTCTAAGACTCAGTCTCTCTCTCTCTCTCTCTCTCTCTCTCTCTCTCTCTCTCTCTCTCTCTCTCCCTCTCTCTCTTTCTCTCTCTCTCTCTCTCTCTCTCTCTTTCTGCTCTCTCTCTCTCTCTCTCCCCCCTCCTCCCTCCTCTCTTCAGCTCCACCCTCCGAATCCCCTCCACTGCATTCATGGTCTTGGGAAGTAGGATGGGGTTTGTGTCCAGGGAACTGGCTTCATCTCCCTCTTCTACCCCAGCGCCTGTCACACTGAGGTTTAAACATGCTGTGGCTTGTGCTCACTGAAGAGTCACTCCTGTAAGTCCAACCTCCCTTCCTCCTGCCTGCTTCCTCACCCTGTTCCTGTCTGGCCCTCCTTCCCTCTTGTAGCTTTCCCCCTGGTCACAGAAGGGGATTCTTGAACTCCATTTGTGGCAGACAGGAGGGCTGAGGGGGAAGCCAGCGAGCTGACAATGTCCTGACCTGACTGTCATCAGCCCATGGGTCTGGTCTCTCTCCGTGGCTGTTTCATGCCTGATGTGGGGGGGACTGAACATCAGAGAGAACTGAGGGTGGGGAGCTGGAGACCAGCAGGATGCTGATAGCAAGAGGAGTGTTTGGGGCCACCTACAAGGGCCGGGTGTGGAGAGCACCCTCTAGGGCTCCCCTTCCTGAATTAGGTCTCAGCTGTGGCAGGAGAAAAGGTTCTACCTCTCTCCTTAGACTCCCCTCCTTCCCCCTCATTTCCCTTCTAGACGCTGACAGAGGCAAAAATCTGCTAACTCAGGGGCAGACTCAACCAGGGCTTCGAAGAGGCCTGGGGAATGACCCCCCGATCTCCAAACACGCCTTCCACGGCTGCACGGCTGTGTCAAGCTGTCTCTGCCTCTGTTCTTGGCCCTGGCTCTCTCTCTGTCTAGCGTCCCCTTCCCTGCGCCACATGGGCCCTCTGTCTCCTGCCAGGACCAAGCGGCTGTGGGGGCCTCGGAGCCTGGGGGTGGCTCTGGGAGTCTTCATGACCATCGGATTTGGCCTGCAGCTCTGGGGGGGGCCCTTCCAGAGGAGGTGAGTTCCGTCTTGTCCCATCTCCTCATAGATGCTCCTCAGGGGCCCCTCCTGGCCCCACCTGGGGCTGTCACTCTTGGGGACTGAGAGGAGCCTGTACACCCACTGTCCTTTCTTTGCAAGAAGCCACTTGCTCCACTTGCTGCTGAGGGATAGGACCCTTCCCCCACCTCATCTCTTCCCAGGCTCCAGGGGCTGCAGCTCCGACAACCCTGGTTTCCATCCCTGGGACCGGCTGCTTCGCCTTGCCTGCCCCGGCAGCGACTCGTGTTCCTGAAGACGCATAAATCCGGGAGCAGCTCTGTGCTGAACCTGCTTCATCGCTACGGGGACCGGCACGGGCTGCGCTTTGCTCTCCCTACCCGCTACCAGTTCGGCTACCCAAGGCTTTTCCAGGCCTCTCGAGTTAAAGGCTACCGTCCCCAGGGTGGGGGCACCCAGCCCCCCTTCCACATCCTCTGTCACCATATGAGATTCAACCTGAAAGAGGTGAGCGGTGCAGTGGGCACAGGGTGGGGCTGGAAAGAGACGGGCTCAGGCTTGCGGGCCAGACCACCAAAGGAGGGTTCCCCCACACCACCACACCCACAAGTTGCTCAGGAGGCCACAAAGCTGGGGTCTTTCTGTTGCTGTCTCTGCAGGTGTCCTTTCTCCCAGGGTTGCCTGGGAGCCAGGGTCTTCCTTCCTCCTATCTGAGGTTTCTGGGGCTCCCTTTCCTATTTAGGGTTTCTGGGGTCCCCCTTCTTTCACCTAGGGTTTATTCTAAACTATGACTTTTTTCTTCCAGTACTAGGGATTGAGCCCAGGGCCTTCTACTGAGCTACATCCCTGGTCCTTTTTTATTTTGAGACAGGGTCTCCCCCTAAGTTTTTAAATTGCCTAGCTGGCGTGAACTTGTGATCCTCCTGTCTCGCCTTCTAGGATTTGTAGGATTGCAGCCGTGCACCCCCACAGCTGGCAGATGCCACATTATGAGACTTCATGTCAGCTCTATATCAAGCCTAGGTGGAGCACAGCAGAACAGTCAGATGAAGGCCCATTCTGACCCCCAGGAGCCTTGGTAATTAAGGAAGAGACAAATACATACACTCAGTGTTCAAATGGATACACCAGGCACCTGAGAGTTCTCCTAGGAAGGCAATTCATGAGCAAATAAAAACGTACAGGGAAGAAACAACTTTGCGGCATAATTACCATCCCTTTGCCTGGAAGGCAGTGTCAATGTGTCCATTATACAGATGTGGAGATGAAGTCTCAGGGAAGCTAGATGACTGGCTTCCTCAGTGTGGTGTGGTGGTACAGGCCTATCATCCCAGCACTCTGGGAGGCTGAGGCAGGAGGATCACAGATTCAAGCCCACCTGGGCAATTTAGCAATTTAGCAAGCCTTTCTCATAATAAAAAAAAATTAAAAAGGGGCTGAGAATGTAGCTCTTTGTGAAGGCGCTGGTCCAATCCCCAGTACTGCCAACACACAAAAAAACTGACAAGGCTAGGATTTGAACTCAGGTCCATTTATTGCAAACTGAAGACTTCTGTGCACACATATATGTTCTTGTATTTGGAGCTGTGGGGAAAGTAGTTATTTACTCTCTCTACTGGGGAGAAAGCAGGGGTTTGCAGTAAGGGCAGTATCTGGCATTCTTTTTTTTTTTTTTTTTTTGTATCTGGCATTCTTAAAGGGAACAAAGCATCAGCAGAGGCCTAGTGGTGCGTGTTCGTGCATGCACACACCTGTGTGTCACAAGGGGAGCATGCAGCATCTGTAGGTGGCAGAGCTTCAGCCAGGTAGCAGGGACTCTCTCACTGGAGCTGGAGCTGCAGACAGATGAGGACTGTCAGGGTGATCTATGGGCAGCAGGACCACTGCTGGGAGAGAGGCGATGACAGGGCTCTTTAAGGTCAGCGTCTCCTGTGGGCTTGGATGATGACCTTCCTGCTCACCACTGTCACTGAATGCCTATCATGTTCCAGGCCCTTCCACATTCTCCCAGGTAAGTGTTTAATCAGATTTACAGGTGGATAAATGAAGGTTCTGAAAGGATCAATAATCTACACAAAGTCATATAACCACTATGAGGTGTGATCAAAATACATGGTGAATGTTTACATTTTTTTAAAAAAAATTATTACAGGGCTGGGGTTTTAGCTCAGCGGCACAGCACCTGCCTTGCAAGTGCAAGGTCGTGAGTTCGATTTCCGGTACCAGAAAAAAACAAAAAAACAAAAAACAAAACAAAACAAAAAAAATTTATTACAGTAAAAGATACATTGCTGGGAAGCCTCAAAATCCTTCCCCTCACTTCAGACACACTCATTCCATCGTTGGTGCCACTTTGTGAAGTACTTCCGTAAGTCCTCTTTTTGTGTCTTAGGAGAGATAATCAAAAAATGTGGTGAATGCTGTTGCCAAGTGCCATCCAATGGAAAGGCAGGCTCATAAAAATATTACAGTGTGTTCTCATCCACCTTTATCTGCCACAGTGGACACCATGCAATCCTAGCTCTTCCCCAAAGTCAAAATGACTATGAAGAGATAAACGTCTGGAATCTGTTCAGGACATCAGGTAGCCATGATGGCACAAATAAACACTGACAACAGAGGACTTCCAGAACTGCCTCAGCGAGAATGATGGGATAAATGTGTTCAAAGCAAGGGGAGGGGTACTTGGGGGGTACTCATGGCAATGTACATCTTACTGTACTAAATTTTCTTGAATTTAAACATTTACTATATTTTTAATCAGATCTCATAAATAGAAGAATTAGGCTTTTATTCCAGGTTCATCTGATGCCAAAGAATATTCTCTTTGCAGTTCTCTTCTGCCATCAACGAGACAGTTCAAAGGTTCTGCCCTTCTAGCATGTCCATAGTAGTGGAGCAGATTGGAGAATGTCATGACAGAGAGAGGTCAGATTCAATGATGGAAGCCAATTTCAGAGGCAGGAACTCTCAGGGCATCTGGGAGCTAAAGTTTTATGTGGATCAGCCTGCAAGGGTATGCTAGGGCATGGCTTAGCCTGATCCTCACCATCCTGGTTGAGAAGTGGAATCATGGGTCCTAGTCCTGAGGGTAGCACTCTACCAAGTGCCCAGTGATCCCTAATGCCCCAGTCCAGGGGCCTCAGAAGAGCCTCACCCTGTGGCCATCCTGGGCTGGCCTCAGATGGCACTATTGTTGCCCTTTCTCACCCTTTCCTACCCGTGATCACAGACCACACCTCCTTCCACCCTGGAGAGCCCCAAGGCCAGGTCCTTTCCTGGAGCTGTGACCAAGAGTCCCAGAGTCAGCACTCAATAGGTTTTTTGTTTTGTTTTGTTTTGTTTTCCAGTACCGGCGATCGAACTCACGACGTTGCGCTTGCCAGGCAGGCGCTGTGCCGCTGAGCTAAATCCCCAGCCCCTCAATAGGTTTTTGTTGGAGAAATGAGCATAAGATTTGGTTCCTAGAAGTTTTACTGACCAAGCCAGGCAGAAAGGTCCAAGGACATTAAAGTTCTCCATGAGTTTGACGTATTCTGGGTATCTTCACATCATCTATTGGATCCTTCATAATCACCCTAGAACTTACGATTACCCTCATTCTACAAATGAAAAAAAATGAGTCTAGAAATGTGACCCCAGGCCACACAACTGGTGTAAGAAGCTGGCGGTCTCCAGCAGAGCTGTGAGGAGGCTGAGGGATCAGCAGAGGCTTGGCCTGTGCTTACTTTTTTCCTGCTCTCTGGCCCACTTCTTTATCCCTGTGTCCGTCTTCTGTCTTCTGCAGGTACTTCAGGTCATGCCTTCTGACAGCTTCTTCTTTTCTATTGTCCGAGACCCAGCAGCTCTGGCCCGCTCTGCCTTCTCCTACTATAAATCCACCTCGTCAGCCTTCCGCAAGGCACCATCCTTGGCTGCCTTCCTGGCCAGTCCTCGGGCCTTCTACCGACCGGGGGCCCGTGGAGACCACTATGCCCGAAACTTACTGTGGTTTGACTTTGGCCTACCCTTCCCTCCAGAGATGAGGACTAACAGAGGGAATCCTCGTCTCCCCAAAGACCCCAGCCTGCTCCAGCGGCATGTCTTAGCTTCTGGTGCTGGCCCTCGAGCCCAAATCCGGGATCCCAAGGCTCTCTTCCAGCCTGTTTCCACAGTTGCTGACGGCCACAGCCAGCCAGCCAGTCCTGCCTCTTTAGATTTGGGGTCCTCTCCCTTCATCCAGTGGGCTCTGGCCTGGCTGGACTCCGTCTTTGACCTGGTCATGGTGGCTGAGTACTTTGATGAGTCATTGGTTCTGCTGGCAGATGCCCTGTGCTGGGGCGTGGATGACGTGGTGGGCTTCATGCACAATGCCCAGGCTGGAAGGGAGCAGGGCCTCAACGCTGCCAGCAACGGTAAACTGAGTGCCGAAGATCCGCAGCTGACCGCACGGGCCCGAGCCTGGAACAACCTGGACTGGGCTCTCTACGAGCACTTCAACCGCAGTCTGTGGGCACGGATAGAGCAATACGGCCAGAGACGGCTGGAGCGTGCTGTGGCAGAGCTCCGGGCTCGCAGAGAGGCTTTGGCTAATCATTGCCTAGTAGGGGGTGAGGCTCTGGACCCCAAATACATCACCAACCGGAAGCTCCGCCCCTTCCAGTTTGGGTCAGCCAAGGTTTTGGGTTATGTACTTCAGAGTGGACTGAGCCCCCAGGACCAGGAAGAGTGTGAACGCCTGGCTACCCCTGAGCTACAGTACAAGGACAAGCTGGATGCCAAGCAGTTTCCCCCTACAGTCTCTCTGTCCCTTAAGACTTCAAGGCTGCCCTCCCCATAGGCGTCAGACTACAGATTGGGACACAAGTGAGGGGCTGCCTGAAGCGATCTCCGCTTCCCTCCCAAGGGATGGAAGTTTACCCTGACTCAAGCCCCAAGTCTTCTGGCCTTTGCCTGGGAATTTCGACAGGTCTCCCTTCACTACACACGTTGCCCCTTTCTTCCCCTTTCTTGTCCCAAGGCAGGTCTGTGTGTGGCCCTCTCTAAACCCCGCTGGAGGGGCAAAAGATGGAGTAAGCCGAAAAGTTTGGGGCATGGTGAGCTGCAATGATACGCACATTTTCTATGAAATATTTGTTATTGGGATATGAACGTTTCACTGTGAAGCGTTTGTTGAATGAATAAATGATATGAAATCGTCACTTGATCCGTGTAAAGAAGAACGGGGAAGGATGGAGAGGCTGCCAGGCAGAAGCGGGGAAGGATGGAGAGGCTGCCAGGCAGAAGCGGGGAAGGACGGGTTCTTTTAACAGTTCTTCCCAGCAAAACCTCTATCTGTTATCTCCAGTCTCACCGTCGCCTAAGCGCCCTGGGCCCCGCCCCCTCCGACACAGTCGCACCATACAGATTCCGGGGACCCCCAGAGCTACGCCCCTTCCGTTTCCGGTTTCTCGCCAGTCATTCGCCCCGCATCGCGGTTCCGGCGCCGCCGGGTCTGGGTTCCGGGTTCGTTGCCCCGGTTTCCGGACCCGGCTGGTCTTCTGGGCCGCC